TTTAAGAGAGGCTTGCAGCATATCAAAAAATATGAACGCTTACTTTTAAAGAGTTTCTGTGTTTTTTTTTGTTTTTTTTCTTCATCTGCCTGAAAAAGTTTGGTTGAAACGGTTTGATCATATATCTTAGTACTAATTGATTTTGTGCGCATCGGAGTTGGAACGCGTCATCCAGATATATTGTACCACTTAGCTTTGCGGGATTGGTTTTCCACAGGTTTAACTCACAATTCAAAGGAAACATCACAATAATCTACCATTGAGGCTTTCATTTTCTACTGGAGAATTCACAATCATCTACCATTGAGGCTTTCATTTCTACTTTTTCTTTCATAATAAGCTCGTCCGTCTTTTATCAGCTGTACAGAGATCTTCTTAAAATCCAGAATGTTCATATACGAACTGACAGTATTGGGTTCTCGCTGACTTCATTTTCAGACTTTCACATAATACACGTAATCAAATGTCGGTGCGGATTGATTCCGACACCTATGTGAAGCAGTCATAAACTTGTTCGGTAAGTCATCCTACAACCAGTCGTAATCGTACGATTTACGAATCTTTTTGAAACGATAGCAAGTTTTATGCTATGATATGGAGTTAAGAATATTTGGACCTACATCACTATCATTGTTTTTTTTTTGCGTTTTAGAATTATCTTGTATGCTGTTATGTCTATCAGGCTGATTTTTTGTTTTATTTTCATTTTCAAATAAAGTTCAAACAACTCATACTGGAATGCTTATCTAAATTAGTGCTGCCTGTTATGATTATTTTTATTTCTATGCCTACAGTGTTTATACATTTAATTTGATTTCATCGACAAGCTTTGACTTCTATTAATCCACGGAACGGGTTTGCCATATTGAATGACCGGTCTTTCTTTAATTAACACTTGGTCAACATCTTAATAGCTCTATCATATTCATTTTCCGTTGTTCATATACTAGTACATTGCTTTGTATCATCTAATTCTATTTTAGCCTTAGTTTGTAACAGACCACCACTATGCCCTATAACAGATGATCTTAATGACATACCCTGCGTTGATTTTGAACCAATTATTGACGATGGATTTATGTGTAGTAGCTGTAGAAACAGATAGTGAAATAGAGTCTACAGAATGAACTGCAATTTAGAAATAAGTATAAAACAACATCAGTGTACGAAAGTATAGTTACTTTTCAAGTATATATATTGCGCAAATAAACATTTTAAAAACTACAAAATGCTTGTTTAGCTGATGATAAAAAAATAAAAACAAAATACCAAAGGAATATTCAAATAAAGGCAACAGTAGTATACCGCTGTTCGAAATTCATAAATCGATTGAGAAAAAAACAAATCCGGGTTACAAACTAAAACTGAGGGAAACACATCAAATATAAGAGGAGAACTACGACACAACAGAAACACAACATTAAAATGTAACACACACAGAAAAGAACTATAATATAACAATGGTCACTTTCCTGACTTGGTACAGAACATTTTAAGAAAGAAAATGGTGGGTTGAACCTGGTTTTGTGGCTAGCCAAACCTCCCGCTTTTATTACAATGTTAAATATAACATCAAAATGACAACATTACATGACAGGACTACAATACAAATAAATGGGAGAACATACAGGACAGAGAAACATACGAATAATAGCTAACAAACTCATAAATCGAAAACAAACTGACAATGCCATGGCAAATAAACAAAATAAAACAGTTAAACAACAGTACATAACACACAGTATAGAAAACTATGACTGAGCAAAACACGAACCCCATAAAAATACCGGGGTGATCTCAGGTACTCCGGAAGGGTAAACAGATCGTGGGAAAAAGACTGATAGTTGTATGAAATTTGCATTGCGTTGTCTTGATGAGATCGTCTTTTAACGTTTAAACGTTTCAAACGTGATACATGTTACACTAAGGAGATATATTGTAGTTGCCAATGAGACAACGTACAGAAACCAAATGACGAGGATACATGTAATTATAGTCATTAGTCAACGTCCGATCTTCAACATGGGGCAAAATATATATTGTATAGTAAGTTTAAAAGTTGCTGTAACAAAATTAAAAAAAAAATATTTCAAATTAAGAAATATATTGCCCTCATGTAAATCTCTGATTCATTTTCGGGCTTTGAAATAGATTGGTTGTCGTATTTGATTAACAAGCCCTTTATATTGGATTTTCCAACATTTTGCCATCGTGCATTAGTTCTAATTGACGTAATTCGCATCTAGTACTGTAAAACTGGCAATTTATAGTATTTATATAACTTGAAAGAAACCCCATTTTATTTATTCATTTAATTGATAAAACATTTAAACTCAGTCATCTCGGAATTGTTTAAGGTAATGATTGGATATCTTTCTTTTGAAAGGTTAGGACAATGTATGTAATGTTCGTGTGTATGTATCGTTGCATAAAATTGAAGATGGAAAAGGGGGAATGTGCCAAAGAGACAACAAACCGACCAAAGAGGAGAAAACAGCCCAAGGCCACTAAAAGGTCTCCAACACAGAAAGAAAATCCCGCACCCGGAGGCGGGCTTCAGCTGGCCCCTAAATAATAATGTGTAAGTGAAAATGGATGTCAAACTAAACTCCGAGACATATAAATGACATAAAATTTAAAAAAAACGTACACGACTAACAGAGGCTGCTGGCTTGGGACAGGCGCAACAATGAGTTTTCGTTAAATGATTTTCCGTTTTATTGTTGTTGTTATTTTTTAACTTACTAACATACAAATAATCTCTGCAATTTTAAACGTTTGATATCATGAATGATATATTGTATTGCAAAATATTTGCTGTTAACAATTAACTTCTTGTACATTTTATTTTTTTTCATATAAAATTGATGGCAATACCATTACGTAAAAAAAAAACATAAGACGTGCGACAAACAACAGTCAACAATATGTCCAAACAGAAATGATTGAAAGGCAAACAACAGTCACCAAAACTTTCACAAAAAGCAAAACTCGAACTTAAGAAAAAGCTAGGATAAATATAAACGTTAGATACAACGGTCTACCGTCGTATTACTCCTGTGAAATGAAGTTGATAAGACATATTCGGCGATAATGCATAAGTGTCTTGATTAGTTTCCACAAATATAAAGTTATGGGCACAATATAGGAAATAAAGAGTAAAACCAATTAATAGTACAGAGAAAAGACAACTCATTGAAGAATAGATAATAGAGAGGTACTAAGAGAGAATGATATGGTGCTATTATATAAAGAATTGAGAGCAATCGGCAAAAAAGGACAGACAAATAGTTGTGTGTTTGTTTATTCTACATTGGATAGAGGTATAGTGGGAGGGTTGGGATCTCACAAAACAGGAATCTGATGTTCAGTAGTTGTCGTTTGTTGATGTGGTTCATAAGTGTTTCTCGTTTTGGGTTTTTTATATAGATTAGACCGTTGTTTTTTCCGTTTGAATGGTTTTACACTAGTAATTTTTGGGGCCCTTTATAGCTAGCTGTTTGGTGTGAGCCAAGGCTCCGTGTTGAAGACCGTACTTTGACCTATAATGGTTTACTTTTATAAATTTTGACTTGGATGGAGAGTTGTCTCATTGGCACTCATACCACATCTTCTTATATCTATTAACCCCGCCGCATTTTCACGCCTGTCCCAACTCAGGAGCCTCTGGCCTTTGTTAGTCTTGTATGTTTTTTAATTTTAGTTCATTTATATGTTTTGGAGTTTAGTGTGACGTCCATTTTCATTGAACGAGTACACATTTTTGTTTAGGGCCCCGCTGAAGCCCGCCCCTAGCTGGGTGATTTTCTCGCTGAATTGAAGACCCATTGGTGGCCTTGAGGTGTTTTCTGCTCTTTGGTCGGGTTGTTGTCTCTTTGACATATTACCCATTTCCATCCTCAATTTTAAATATGCCACAAAATATAAAGAATAAAGAAATGAGAAAACTCCATCCAGACCCTCATCCATTAAGCTCTCATAAAAACTCCATCCAGATCCTCATGCATTAAGCTCTCATAAAAACTGTTGTTTTTCTTACAGTTAAAAAATTTGAAATCTATGAACCATTATTGATTACTAGTAGTTATTTGTCAACACTTAAACATTACTGTATGAACAAATAAAGATGTAAACACTGGACTAAGCACCATAATCCTGTAGAATTGATATATATAATTATTATACTGAAGTTAATTTGCACAACTCTTCCTGGAATATTCTTTAGTAAACAGAATAAATTTGAATCCAAATATAAACTGGGAAAGTTCGTTACATGTCCTTGATGGAGGCACAAATGATTACAAATTAAAGACTTGACTACCTCCATTAACTTTTAAACTAAGGCCACCTCTTTACTCCTTTTCAAGATTTTCCATCGTGTGGTGAACCTACAAAGTCCCTATAACTATACAAAATTGAGAGGTAACCCGGTACTGACTAACAAAATTTACTAAAAATGAGACCTTAAAATAATCCACTACTTTTGTCATATCACACACTAGGTATATCTCAAACTTTACTGTAGACAGATTGCATTGGAGTAACATACTTTTTTTGATATGGTATCATTGTTTTTTTTAACTAGTTACAAAAATATAATTAAATGTAGCAGGATCAATATTATAGCATATTATGTATACAATATTAGGTCAATATCGGATAAATATAAATTTGCATTATCTCGATTGAATTGCACGACTTATCATGATAAAGAAACACTTAACATATTTATTAAATACTAAGTACAAATGTAAAGACAAATGCTTAACACTGGTTTGTGTTATAAAATGAACGTTGACTATTATAAATGGTACAACAACACTACTATGTTTGTTACACGGCTCATTGTGAAGTAGCTTTGAATAATCAAGTTGCTTCCAAGAATCACCTATCATTAGATCGATTTTACACATCTGTTCCCACAAAAATTAAATTTGATATCAGAATTGACACAATATTAACATACATGTATATGCAAAATTCTTTTGATTTGTAGACTTTCCTCCTATTTAGTATGTTTGCTATTACATTTTGCGTTTTGTCTTTTGCGAACTACATGTAGTCTACAATCATGCAGGTATGTTTTAATTAAAATCTGGTTACGCTGTTTTACGTTTCGTAAATTTAATCTGTAAACGACAAACTAAATATGTTCATGGTCGACTCGCTCTTTTTTTTTCTCTAATTGTGTTTTATTTGTAATACATTTGTTTTTGTTTAAACGTGAACAGAACTTTGAGATAATTTCACATTATATTCCTATTTTAAACACATCTTTATATACTCCTCTATATGTTGAAAAAGATATCATCTGGTTGTTTTCGCTGATTTGCACGAATTTCAGTTGAGTCGACCAAAGAGTTATTTCATTTTTTTTTAATTACACGATTTCTTTAGATATTTCTTCCCAGATCAAAAGATTTTGTGTTAATGGTTTCTGTTTTTTTCTTTTTTACTATACTCATTCCGATTTAATGTTTTCTGTTACTTGATGGCAGACAAGTGTTTTGAGACCATTGTAGACAACGTTTGGAGCTCTTTAACTTCGTTTTTTATTCGGTCGTTTTAACGTTTTAGATTCGGACGTCACTAAGTTTATTTAATGCGGGGTATGTGACTTTTTTTTGTTTACAAACAGATGCTTGCAGTTATTCCTACAGGAAAATTGGAAAGAGTTGCTACCTTATAAATAAAGAAAACGTGACATGGGATATTGCCTTTGTTATATACGTAGAATGTGTGTGTGTTTGTATATGTGCCTCACTTGAATAACATTTTAGAATACTCTTTATTTTCACAATTTTTTATTCTTTATATATTTTTTACATTTGTACTGTTCTGCTCCCAATTAACGATACTTATAATCTAATATAAAAATAAAAGAAGGTTGGTAATTGATACATTTAATTCAATTTAAACGATCTCATAATTATTCAGAGTAACTATTATGCACCTGCAATGTGTAGTTAGTACAATGTTTTTATTATTATTCTAAGGCGATATGTTTAAGACATGGTGCGAACTTGGCAGTATTTGAGACCTTGGATGAATTGCTGTTAATAAGACGTGAATTAAAAAAGATGAATACAGGTAAATTCACATAATATAGTTTGTTTAGTTAATTTTTTTGTTATTACCAACATGGAGAATAGTACACATTTGTCATTATTTGCATAAATAGTATAACAACAAAATGTGTTCATGTTATATATTTCAAAACATAGTTATTGCTCAGTTTTTTGACTTGCTAAGCGACTTATCATCGGTTTCCGTGGTGCTTCTGTCCCCCAATTCTTATGCCGTTTACATTCTGTAAGTGTATATCAAAGTAATGATAATACAGTAAATGAAATAATGATAAACAATTTTCTCTGTGATAAATCGATATGTCTAACACGGCTATGAATTAACAATGTGACAACTGCAGTAGTTCTTACTCTAAAATATGAAATCTGCTGTTATCGTTTCCTTGCAAAAAGTTAAGGAATTCATCACAATTCGACATGTGGTAAATAAATCTAGGGCAATAGCCTCTAACTCATACAATGTTTTTTTTCGGACTTGAATATAATTGATTTACTTCTATCAGGTTAATCATTGAAGACCTTTAAACCTTTGCCAATATGCAGACGTTTGATTAAACAAGTGTTTTGTTTTAAAAATGTTTGTCTCATATCCATCCCCCATATCCTTTCTTCAATTATGTTTATATGCAGGATGATCAACCAATTGTGGTTGTAGAGTCGAATGATAGAATCTGCAAATGAGGAAAAACGATATAGTCAAGATAGTTGTAAGTGGCGTTAAACAGCATAAAAGAGAACGTGTTAATAGTTTTTTCAAGGAGTTTAATTGTTTTCTTCCTTTTATTCGTAAATTTGTTTATTTTTTTTCTTTCTAAATGTACGTGATGAAATTTAACTCGAGTCAATCGCTCAAGTGTTTTTAAAAGTGACTTCATATATAAAACACAGCGTATTAGTTTAAATAAAAACACAAGTATGAACAGAAGGCATTCTTTTTTTCTCTATTACACGATTGTTAACCTTGCGTAATATCTTAAAATGTTTCCCAAAGAAATAATGTATCGTTAAACTTTATTAAAGTTTGTCCCTTATCATCTCTTATCTTCTTTTAAAGTGACAGATGTCTAACTTTTCATCAGGTCAAATCATTAGCATTTTCTGAATTGAAATGACAACTTTACTTAAAAAAAAAGGTTTAAGTTTCTACATTGGTGGACGTAACATCAACAGATATATTTCTGGCGTAGATTGGAGATGGATAAGGAATGGAAAGATGACCAAGATGAATTACTTTGCATTCGGTACTGGACAGCCGAACGGATCTTTTGGTAGCCCAAAAGACTGTTTGTTAATCTACGTTCATGATCGTTGTAACCTCCATGACGATTGTTGCGACTCCTCCTTTGAAGGTTTTATCTGCAAAAAGTAGAACATTGTTAAGTATTTTAATGTGTTATGTCTAAAGTCGAATGCTTAATGTTTGATATAATACATCTGAATCTATTTATGTTTTATGTGTCTTTATCCGTTTTGTCATTTCAATTTGTATATTTAAAATGGATAAACGATAATTCTTTTCAATGGAAAGGTTTGTAAGTATAAAAAGAAGAAGATATGATTGAAATGAAGTATTGTAAGAATGCACGAAAAAAATATACCACATTTCAAATAAAACACACAAATTAAAATCATCAAAAAAGTAGTTAGTTAGGTTATCAGCTGAATATGAGTTTCGTCATAGCCAGCCAAATAACCTTTCGACGACGGTCAAGCTTTAAGACGTCAAGGTTTATCGAACTTCAAATGCTTGTTACAATTTTCAAAAACTTTAGATTTTTAATTTGAAATACCTCACTATTTTTATTGAATGTGATACATTCCTGAATATAAATTCAATTTCTATATAATTGTAGAATTTACACATGTATAAATCCCTCTTCCCTTCCCCCTCCCCCAGTTGATATAAATGTCGAATCAAACTATAGAATTATAACTGTTTATATTATATAAACAGCATTTTTAAACCAAAATACTTCCAAAAATATCGTCCGTTACATGAACACATATATAGCACTTTCCGCCTTCTTACAGAAATACCTGTATTGTTATCATACATTTAAATAACATTCGTAGCTTGTATTTTGGTAGATCTTGGTCAATAATCAAGACAAACAACGATTGGCCATATAACGCCGCCTCTTGAAAATTGAGCATTGTTTTGCTTTAATACATTAAAATATCTTTGGGAATGTCTGAGCATTAAATGATATGTCAGGAAGCCTTGGAATACATATTTTTGTCTCGTCTATACGGGACATGAGTTAAGGATCGAAATATGTCCCCTATATCAAAGAACAATACTCCACGCAAAACCGATTACTTCTATTCATTAAAGCGTATTTAACTATTGCTACTTTCAAGACCATCCATCCTGTCCTTCTAAATTTTAAAAATATTAGTGTGAAACAACTTTGCTAAAGTACGTTTCATTTTAACCAACAAAACGGATCTTGACTTTTATATCGTATGCTCTTTCCAACTAGCAAGTAACTTAGATGTATGTGTTGGAAGTAAACCTTTCGTCTTATTCAAAACTGTCTTGCTCTTGAGTTTTTTGTTTTTTTGTTTTTTTGAGGAAATATATTCTGTTTTTGTTTGACCACTTTCCCGATCTGTCCAACTAACTTTGTCATCGGTCGAAGATTTCCCCTCGTCTCACTTTAAAAAAAATCATTTCAAAAAGTTCACTCCATTTTTTTTTAAGTGTGGCAAGTGTTCCTTGGACTCAAACGACATAAACCTGTAGTTTTACTTAGAACTTTTCTGTATGTTGTATGTATTTGTCCCATGTTTTCGGATAGATTCTGAGCATATATTTTTAGATGATACGGTGTTGTTCACATTTAATGAACTGATAATAATTAATATACCTGAACCATAAGGTCGGAAAAAAACTCGAAGCTTATTCTGTCAGCATTTCTTTTGCAACACAACTGTCGACAACAGCTAGATTAAGGTTTCTGCAACGGTTTCTGCCTTCTGGTTAGCCAATTAATGTTTATGGGTACCTGGATGCATAGTCCGTACAAACATATATATATCTATGTTAAGATAAAGGAAGTTGACCAACAACATATATATTGGTAAACGATGCAATTGTTACAGATAAGTGGATCTTTAGCAACTCTACCTTTCATAACCCATCTCTGGCATTCCGGACATGACCATTAAACTAAGCAATTAAACTTAATATTCTTGGCTAGTAGAAATGTTTCATAGTCATAAACCTTTTATAGTATAAATCATGACCTAATGCATGTAATGTCAAAACTGTCTTTTTTATTTTTTCTAGGGACAATAATTTAAAATATTTTCTCCCCTGATTGTGTCCTCACGATCCTGTAAAGTTTATGAGATTTTAATGTAATTGAAGACTGTTTATCCGAGTCATCTGCAATAAACAATCTAAATGTATTTGAAAGAGAGGCGAAATATACCAAAAGGATATTCAAACTCATAATGTCGACAATAAACTAAATTAAAGTATAATCTGTTTTTTTTGTATCAATCACCATGACCAACTCCTGTCTCCTGCAAATCTGAAAGTAGTAATATGGCAAAGTTCTGTTATAGGATAATCATCACTGTACTTCTCTGTAAAATCCTCAATTCTCTTTTCCTCTTCTGACTGTCTCCTAATCCCTTTCCGAATCATGACATTTTTGTCGTAGGGATTCGAATGGAGGTTGATGCATGCATAGCAAGAGACACTTTTCAACGCGCCCGGTATCACATTTTTTGTAGAGTTCATTCGATTTCTTCAGTTTCCTTGTAACCTTGATACGTCTCTTCTTGATCGAAACTTGACAATTGAGCATCAGCAAATTAGTGTCACATTAATTCAGCTCTTGTCTTCTCCGACTTACATAGTTTAAAACATCTGAATTTAATAAATGTACAAAATCATATATGGTACTATCGACAATAGTGTTGTTAAAGCTAGTAGACGTGTAAGCGTTAACATAGTTACCTATGGTGAGGATGTAGATAGGGGTTTACAGAATAGAGAATAATGGGCAAAAAATATAAATAATTGAGAAAAATGGAAAAAAAAAAAAAAAAAAAGAGAAATATGGACAAAAAAAAATGAAGAATAGAGACTAGTGAGGTGCTTAAATATAAAGAATGGAGAATAAAGGGCAATCAATATAAAGAAAAAAGTAAAATAACGAAAATACCGAACTCCAAGGAAAATTCAAATCGGAAAGTCCCTTATCAAATCGTAAAATCAAAAGAATAGAGAAAAAGGGCCTAAAAACTAAAGAATACAGAAATGAAAGACACCCACCACCACCATCCATTTAGATTCTCTATGATGTGCTCTACAAAAGGAGTATCGAAACTAGAGTTTGATCATCTTTAAACGAGAAGGTTAACTTCCTTATATTCACAGGTCGAGCCATCTGCAAGGCAAATTCTTTACTTTTATTTGAAAATACATAAACATTAACATTTTGGTATAATTGCCAATCAGACAACTTTCTACTATGGACCAATTAAAACGTTGTAAAATATCTGGTTCCTTATTTGTTGAGACACCGATATATCGTACCAGTTAGCCAACTCGTGTTCTGCCTCATAACTCTGTTGGAGCAGTTTTTGTGTAAGATGAAGACCTTTGTTAACTTTGTAGAAATGTTACGAGCAGACTCTTGTTAAATTTGTAGAAATGTTACGAGCTATATGACCAGCAGGGACATGAAAGGTATAGCCATCTTAGGTTAGTCTAGCTCTCATTTCTACCACTCGGTCGATCTTTTTGCTGGTAGACTGTTAGTCCCGACTGTATCACATAAAAATACGGCTATTGCTTTATTGAAATTTGCAGTAAAATTGAAAATTTTTAAAATAGATATTCAAATTAAAAAATATCTCCTTCGTTGGTTCATGTCTGTCATATTTGTTTTTCGTAAATTGTTTTGTTATAAATTAGGCCGTTAGTTTCCTCAATTGAATTGTTTTAGATTTTTCATGTCGGGACCTTTTATAGTCGACAATAGGGTATGGGTTTTTCTCATTGTTGAAGTCCGTATGGTTGCCTATAATTGCTTACATCCACTTCATTTGAACTTTGGTGGATAGTTGTCTCATTGGCAATCGTACCACATCTCCTTATTTTTATATAGTTCTGATTTTTTTTTTCTGGTTTCGGTTTGTTCTTTGGTATTGGCATGAAAAAACGAATACAATATGTTGGAAATCATTCTAATTTAAAGAAGGCATCTCTCTAAAGATAATCTCAGATTCGTTGTCTGGTTTGACTTATATTTGGTCCCTTTTGCTTTTATTAGATCGTCAACGCTTGTATTACTTTTGGATTTTGGCCTCGAGTATCACTGAATAGACATTAATTCCCAGAATGTGCATCTGGTGCAGAAAACTTGTACTGATGAGCATTAGGTTATAACTAACACTGTTTCTTCACCTCTACATGTGGACTGTTAGTCTCCGAGAGTTCACCAGGGCAGTAGCTAGTATTCCGTAATTCCTTTGTCGGATTTGGCGTACTGTTGGTAATTTTTTGGTTTTATCAGCTTTTCAACGTCTGTACCATGTTTAGGATTTTCAAATAGTTAAGCCTCGAGCACATTGAAGAGTAATTAATTGTCGAAATGCACATCAAATTTGTACTTAATATTATTATGGAATATATGAGTCAAAAATTACCATTGATTTATTCAACTTGCTGTTTTTTTCTCCTTTATGATACATCATATTGCAATTACTAGTACCTGCCATTGACAAGATGGATGCCACTAGCAGAGATTGAACTGACAGTATATGAGTTGAACCCCTGTCCACGTTGCCCAAGTTCTAGTTTTTCTGTGTAGTGGTTTGTAAATTGTTGTAAAAAAACACCTGTCTGAGACAGACAACACGACATTCCAAACAAGTTAAACAGAACGAAAAGACGTCTTATAATCCACAAAGCATTACAATGAAAACTAAACACAAATGAAAAGTAAAATAACAAAAATACCGAACTCCAAGGAAAATTCAAATTGGAAAGTCCATTATCAATGGCAAATCAAAAACTCAAACACATCAAACGAATGGAAAACAACTGTCATATTCTTGACTTGGTACAGGCATTTCCATAAAGTTTAAGTTCCTGATCAATTAGTGACACACGTCGTGCGTGATAACCTGTTGCAATCTATACCATGAATCAATACCATGAATCCCAGTTGATACAATTTATCAGTACATCAGTTTCCTATCATGAAGGGTTGCTGCATACATAGACACTTTTAGACCAAAGGTTAAAAGTGGTAACAATTGAAAATTTTACGGACACAATCGGGAGCTTGTTTGGGCACTTTTTTGTCATTTAGCTCTTCAACTGTTTTAGTTCTTATACATCTTTGGCTTTCAAACAAAAAAGTATATCCAAACACAGACACGAAATCAAAGCTTTGCACGAAGGAGATACATTCCTTAATTT